TATAGAAGACTGAGGGTCAGTATAGAAGATTGAGGGCCAATATAGAAGACTGAGGGTCAGTATAGAAGACTGAGGGTCAATGTAGAAGATTGAAGATCAATGTAGAAGATTGAGGATCAATATAGAAGCTTATCGCATTGATTTTAAAACCGGCTTACCTGATCCAGTTTAAAATTTAAAGCAGGCAGCATCCTGATCTTATCAGAAGGATTTAGCCGCCAAAATTGTCTCCCGGGTCTCCAGGGCTACTCCAGTGGCCATTTTCTTAAATCGTAAAACTCCCAGCTTCCAAAAGAGGCATGCTGAGCGGTCCTGGGAGCAGGGATGGACCCTGGGTGGACCTAGGCGGCTATTTCGGCGGCTAAATCCTTCTGATAAGATCAGGATGCCGCCCACTTTAAATTTTAAACCAGATCAGGTAAGCCGGTTTTAAAATCAATGCGATAATCTCCATAGATTGGTTGAGAGTCAATATAGATGATATATTTAATTAAATATTTTATATTTAGAAGAGGTATTCCCTCAAGTGGCGAAAGGCATCTGTTTATAGTAGCACATGCTTTTCTTCACCTATGTATCTTGCATAGAAGATATTTTATTTTGTGATTTGCCATAGGAAGGTAAGCACAGGTTTAACTTGTAAGTTAACCTGTAAGTGTTACTGAGGGGGACACATTTCTGAGGAATGGAGGAAAATGAATCAATTGGAGGCTCCAGCTGAATATTAAGAGGAATATTTAAACCCTGTGATTAACCAATTTTCTCTCCAAGGGGTTGTAGCTACTGGGATTGTTGCAATGACTGGCTTCACTCCAAAATTTACTCCTGTATAACAGCTGAAGATATTGCTAAGTGGGCTGTTCAGAGGGTTCCTTCCCTTAAGTTTCTTTCCTTAAAGATTTTGTTTCTTTTCTTAAAGATTTTGGGTATTTCTTTATACCTTTAGGTTTCCTCTAACTACTTCTTTATTGCGTGTCAGTGGTGCTGTTTTAAACAGCATACAGTTTAGATGTTGGATATAAAGGAAAATTGTACAGTTCTTAGATTTTACTCCTACTGAAGAGCACCGTGGTTCAAATGTGCAAAATGTTTATTCGCTTTTGGAGAAGAATGATTTCAATGAACCTACAGCTGTGGTTTGCAATAGTTGTGTCAAGCAATCCTTATATTTCTAGTATCAGACTCTGGCCACATGGGGACACTGTCCTCCAAAAAAGCTTCACCATGAAAGGATACCATGTGTAGTGACTTCGTAAGAAGACTGTTGCCTCTCTGTTGATTTCTTTTGGTTGAGTTGTTGCCTTTGTCTTTTAAAATCTGCAGCCTGTCCTTGCTGGGAACAGCTCCCATTGACTGGAGGATTTTAGGGAAGGTACAATTCCTTGAGAGATGCCTCTTTTTATTACATCTGTAACAGGTAACATCTGATCGGCCAATGAGAGTGGCCTTTCCTCTGCCTCTGCTTGCCACCAGGTAATTCAATCCAGAATTGTCTTTATCTGTGAAATGGGAATTTCCTGTCTGCTCTATATACTCCTCCCTGTGCATACTCAGAACTTGGGTAAAACTCATGTCTGGAAGAGCATTGATCACAGTTGAAAAAGCATCAAATGGTTTGCCCAAAGCTCCCATGAGATAAGCATCTTTAGGATTATCACATGGTTTAGAATCACAAAGCAACATCCTTTCAAACAAATCATTTACTCTTGCAATATGCTTTTCACAATGTTGCTTGGAATTAAACCTCAAATTCATCAGTTTCATTACAGCACAGAGAGTCTTATTTGTTTTCTTTCCAGATTTATCTTCAAGCCTCAAAAGCATGTCTTTCACAGAATCACAGTCCCCAACTAGGTTGATCAAATCACTTGAGAGAGATTCCTGAACATATATGCCGTGCTATAGCATCTTCCTTTATCCAAA